TGTTGCCTTTAAGGCTTTATTATTTTTCATCTAATTACAGCTCTGTATGAAATATTGATAACCATTCGGTGACGTCCATCTGTTTCGAGAGGGTGAACTGTTCGCTTCTCGGCTTGAACTTCGTGACAAACTGTTGCAAAAAAAAAAAAACCAATATCGGGCGCAATCTCTGACTGATTGCAGATTCTCTACGTCTGGTTTTGGTGTATGTTCGTAACGTGAGAGGAAAGTGGAAAAAATGGATATTTTACAGGAAGTCAATACATCAACGCAAGCAACTACAGAAGGCGACCCACGTTCCTTGGTAACAGTGTGCTTCGAAGCAACCATTTTGGGTTTAATAATTCTCGCTGCTGTATTCGGAAACTCTCTGATTTTGACATCCTTGTATCGCTTCACTTGTCTACAAACCAAGACGAATGTTTTTGTTTTGAACTTAGCGATCGCGGATTTATTTCTCGCTGTACTAGCGATGCCTTTTACGCTCGTCTCTTCCATAACTTACGACTGGATCTTCGGAACAGTGATGTGCCAAATCCTTGGCGCGTTAAACTCTATTTTCTGCGAAGCATCGATATGCACATTAACTTTCGTAAGCATCGAACGATTCATAGCAATAGTCTATCCTTTGAATTACGAAACATTAATCACTACCAAACGGGTGAAAATCATCATTAGCTGTATTTGGTTGCAAGCTGTTATATGTGTGTTTTCCACGTTCATTTTCTCTGAATTCAAGTTCTTGAAATTCGAAGCGGTTTGCACAGTGAATTGGGAACGGAATTTTGCTTACACGCTCATTTTCGCCTTCATTTTCCTTTTTGTACCTTTTCTTATAACGGCTGTGTTGTACTGTATTATTTTAAAAACAGCCATAAGGCAGCGCCAGCGCATCAATGTCATCAAAGTCGGTGAGATCTCTTCCGAAAGATGTGGGAAAAAGGTCCCGACCGGAGAAAAAAAGACAAAAAAGGAATATAAAGCAACTGTCATGATTGCAATTGTGATAGGAACTTTCTGCCTCTGCTGGTTTCCGCATTCAATCGGTGTTTTCTGCATTATTGACCCGAACTGCAACTGGGACGATTCTTTTTTCGTGGCGACTACATGGCTTGCTATGTTAAATAGTGCCATGAACTCCATCATCTATGGTTTGATGAACCGCAGTTTCAGGCGCGCTTTTAAGAGCGTTTTATGCTGTGAGCGTTACGTAGGGAACGAGGACTTAGCAACAAATATTCAACAAGAGAGAATAACAGACGATAGAAAGAGCAATTTGTTAAACCGATATTCTCAACATCAATAGTTACTCCAATCGCCCTTAAAAATTTTACCCAGTCTTGTCACCTTTCGTCTGCTGCACAATTAGCTTTCATTTGAATATCATTTTAAAAGTTCTGCAGCGATTTATAAACTTACAACATTGTAAAATATGTATATGTTCTTTTTTAAGAGAATGAAGAGTCGGCAAAAGTTATTACGAGAGTAACTTTCCAGCGGCGTTCTTGTTAATTCAGAAGTCAAGTGTGTCGTTAACGGCAAATGTCACACGTCAAAAAATGAACTTATCAGCAACTGCGTTCATCCGTTCGTAAACAGGGTCCGCTCTGAACCACAATTTTTTTTTTGTTTATTAAAATATTGTTGTTCTTTAGCTTTGATTTTAAGGATTGTGTTGTTCATTTTTTCCGTTTGATTTGCTGTAAAACATTACGTTTCAACTCTTGAATATTACACAACAGACTTTTCCCACCTACACGGCGCTATCAACTCTGAATCAATATCACCATGAAATACATTCATGTTCGTTAAGAGGGCCGGAAGATCCCCTTTCCATTAGGATTACCTCTACTGGTCGCAATATCAAATAGGACCAGTTTAGAAATTCTCTTAACTAAAACGTCAGATACACAAAAAGAAGACTTCGTTGACTTGTGATCTACAGCCAAAAATTTAGAAAACAATTATGGTGTCTCACCAGGTCACTCAAGCATCTAAATTCTCGTGGCGCATAAATTATAGGTTGCGTTAATATGATCTGGTTTAGCTTTAGTGCATTAAAACACTTTGCCTTTAAATGTGCTCCTGGTTGACCAACTTTTGTAATCAATATCATGCACACATTGACAGAAAGTATAGTCATGGAACAGAGCAATCATGGAATCGATGGTCACTTTTATATCATCTCTTTTACGCTCTTTCTTGTTGTCGTAATTAAAAGTGTTCTGTTAAATTTTCTTTGACGTCTAAATGCTCCATAAATCAAGGCATTATTACGAACTGGATTTGTATTATGTTTTATGCGTCACAGGAAAAAAAGCATGGAATTTTCTTCAAAACTGCCGGTGAAATCAATGACCTATATTTTTTGTGCGAACTGAAAATATCACCTCAGTACAACTCACTGCTTTCGGAAATTGTTCGCGCGTACAGATTTTTGTCGGAGTGGGAGTATGATTTTTCACCATTCAATTTGCTTTTTCTCAGCTGAAACAATGCCTCCCTGACGACAGCTTGTCTAAAATTACTAAATGAAGGGAACATGTTTGGTAATGATATTATAATTTCTCGTGTACATTAATATATTACGGGGTTTTACTGCTTACTTGAAATTTTGTAATTTTGGAGATGAAATTAATAGACATATGAAATTAAATGCCTGGAATGAAACTGAGGGTATGAAATTAAAGTTACCACTTGACTTCCTCTGTGAGTAGGCCTCATGTTGGCTTTTACATGCTGGATGTTGCTCCTAGCTCGGTTATTGTGGGATATACAACATACTGTGCTCGTAACTGAGAGCAAGCGTTGTCTTCTGATAGCTTATGTTAAACAGTTTTATGAAAAAAATGTTCGCAAGATTTTAAATAATCAGAAATATTAACCAATTTAACATAACCAGGGGTAACTACTTCACTGTAACAATTCCCTTTGATTTTCAACATCGACCAGAATTTCAGGACACATAGGGTAAGCTTGTAAAAGGTGCTACAGCCACTGAAGCTTCCATGGCAATAAATTAGCGACAGTCCTATATTAGTTGAAATAAAAAAGAAATAATACAATGAATTACCTCATACAGCTATAGGCAGTTTTGAGAAAACCTCCAGCAGGTTTGGTAAGAAAATCCAGGTTGTAACCAGCAGAAATATATGTGTAAAAAATTTTAAGAATTAACAATACTTCAGAACGTCTACAATGAGAAAAGGTAAGTGGTAGTCGGCAGTGGGCATATAGTTACTTATACCATCTGATACTGGATTTAGAAAACTTAAACCATCATTCACGACTTTTCTGCTTGAAATACCCTTCCTGATTGCTTCCCCTATTCCTACTCTCCCTTAAAAAAATGCTATCAAGGCGAAGACAAGGGTAGTAAGTAAACCAAAGCTAATGAAATATGAATTTAGACGTACTATGGCCGTTAAAATCCTCTTTCTTTAATACTTTTTTATTTTTATTTTAAATCACAATTTTTCATCGCATCTTCGGTCCTTTTACGGAGGAGAAGGGTCCGGAATGTTATAAAAAAAAGATTAAAGATTTCTCGAGAAAAAATCGAGTGTGTAACTGAAATCATTTGACTTTCGATTTTCGTAATTCTTGTCCTTTTTTTTAATGGTCGCGATGTTCTTGATTCATTCCTTGGTTGTATTTCGCAATTCATGATTCCCAAGTGTTATGAAAGAAATTCCTGATTCGTTCTCATTTCATTTATCCCTACGATTCATTATTAATGATTCTACCTCGGCCTCTGACAGAAAACTGTAAAGAAGGGAAATTGCCAATGGCTAATTCAAAAGGTTTTAAGGTTGGTTTTCAGGATCCTCAAGCAAAATGAGCAGTAGCCGGTTAGTTTTTAAACAATATACCTTTATCATAATAAGATGTCTCAGGGATGTCTTTTTCTTAGCTGCAGGCGTTTACAAGTAGTACAACTCTAGTTACTGACCATTGATTGTTATTGTCATTAGTTTTCCAGCTTTTGATCTTTATATTGATTGTAAACGGATTCACTTCGCTACCCAGTGGATCAGGTAAAGTGCATCAAAGATAAATGACTTGTCGAAAACGAATTGAATGGCATTTATAAGCTGGATTCTTGAAGTAACAGAGGGCCCCACCGTTCTGTGGGACGCGCTTCGCTCTGTAGCCTCGTCATACCGTTTATCCTTTAAATGCCAGTAGTGACTGACACGCAACTTTTCCTTACACTTTCAATACATTATTCAGCGAGCAAGAAATGAGAATAAACACACTAATCAGCTCAAGGGTGTTAACTTCATAAGTTGACTGCAAGGATGTGCGCGGCATTTAAAAAGGAGGGTCACAAATTGGAGTTTGGAAACAAGCGGGTCAGGACCTTTTTCCGCTTTTCAGTAGCAAAATGCATTTGACTTGGAGATAATTTTATAACCTGACCGTTAATTGAATGAAAATATCTTGTAAAATGAATTTGGTTACTGCCTTTTGTTGAGATGGCTAGCATGATAGATTTCTAAAACACAGCAAACAGACACAAGTGCAGTGGCTCACTGGCGGCCCTGAATTGAATGTTGAAAGAAATTGATAAACCCAGCTTTCAGACCTCAAGTTCTAGCGTTACCACTCATTTCTGAATGAAAGCTTTCCATAACAAAGTAAGGCTTCTAATCTTGGAGAAATCTTAGCTAGCCGTTACTGTTTTTTCATTGTCAAACTTAGGAACCGGTCATTTTTCGTCGCCTGTGTGTTTACTGTGTGTGGAGGGGGAGGGGGAGAAGGGGATTGGTTTTTTTTCGGGGGGATAGCGAGACCCAGGGGAGATCAGTCGTCAACGACAGAATTTGAAGAAGGGACTATAGAAAACTGACTGCCAATTAAATGCGAATGAGGGGTGGGTCAGAGGTATCATAAAAATATTACAGAGAGGAAATCTCATCTTGACACCATCAGAATTCTCCAACCCTCCCCGCCCAGGTTATAAATAATGACTGGTCCCCTAAAAACTGCCTATACTCTGGACAGGACATTGCCAATCAGAAAACTGGATCAAAGCCGGCTGTCGTAAAGATACGGCAAGGGAGATGGTTTTACTGTTTAGTGATCGAAATCCAGGCTCTACAGTCAAGATAAACTGGAGTCATTGGAAACCTTATCTCATCAGGTAAAGAATGCATAGGTCACCGGCAATTAGTTTATTATGTCGGTAATAAACAGAGTCTTAGAAGGAGTGGATATTTGGAGGAGCCAAAATTTGTAGGAACGCTTGCCTCCCAGTGCCAGGTTTAGCTTGGTTTCGTCTTTAGGACCTGTTAAGACCCAGCTGTTTCTTAAACGTTTCCAGAGCCTTGTTTTAAATGCTAGATCTAAGGTATAGTAGAGCGGGTCTAAGCTCAAAACCCTAATCTATTGTGTTTCCTTTCTTAACTCTTTTATTGCATGAACTCCATGCCCACTGATATCTCGATCTTGACTGCAAATGCGGCAAAAGAAAACTTTGCAGGACCGTTAACTAATTGAACTTTCGAGAAACGGGGTTGAATTGAAAGACTACAAATAATAAAAGAAGCCAAAGAAACCGGCTAACCGTCCTTACTTTTTTCAATTCAATGATAACATAAACATGGAAATCCCCATTGGTGAAAGAATGTCGAAACACTGTCGTCTCAATCTTGACTTCTTCTACTAAATGAGGACCTCGTGACGAGGTTCGCCTCACGAAATTCTGTTCAGGGCCAGCACCGCAGCGGGGAGATGGGATAACAATATACCCCGACATGTGTGAGGGCCTGGGTAGCATTTCTCGCACTTTTAAAACACTACGTAAATTATTTTCTCAATATTTTATTCTAGCTTGGCTTGTCGCTGCGCAACTGAAGCCAAGCGTCAAAACCTTCAGTGGTTTGCTTTACAGTATTATGGAGAGTGTTGGGGAAGCAGCGAGTCTTTAAAAGAACTCTTTCCAAGGTGCATTATCACTTTTTACTCAACTTGCATGATACGCTGGAAAGTCGGCATTTTCGACTTCAGTATACGTAACTGTTTAATCAATAAACAGAAGGGTGTACAATGTAAGGTAACCAAGTCAGTCGGTTAAATACAGTCTTCATTAATGGGGTCAATTAATGTTAATCAATATTTGTATAATTGCTCAGGTGATTAAAGAAATACGCGCGCTCTGATTGGTCGAGGATTGCGTCATATATCGCTATGATCATTTCGCGAAAGGTGATTTTAACAGGGGCGCTAACTTTAAAAACGGCTGCCCTGCGTTTTTGCAAAGTTTCCGAGGAGGTGATAAACGCAATAGAAGAAAATTCAATTGCAAAAAGCACAAAAGATTTTACCGAGTTTAGCAGAACACTTTTGAAAAGGAAGATATGGAGTTTTCACTGATTGAATTATATAAAATCGCCTTGTTCTTATCTCGGTTTCTGCTTTGTATACAGGTACCCCATAGATTCGGAGGACAGATGTGTTGGTGAATCTTTCAAGCCTTGCAAAGAAGAGGATCCTAAGTCAATGTGCGTTGGACGTGCATTTAGGGTTTACTTCTACGAATTCAAAAAACAGCCGGGGAAGCAAGTATCACATCAGGGAATAGCCAGTGGAGGAGGATATGGTATTTTTCTCCTTATTGTGTGAGCCTTAGGGACGCTGTAGTTTCCAAATCTTAGGTACATGACGAAGAGGAAAGGTCACCGACTGAGTGTCTTTGGGTGTTACCCTTTCACAGAATTATACAGAGATCAAAAGGAGATTTAGCTCTCATACCCCGAGGATAAGGACGTTTTCTACGTCGCTGCGCACAAAATTGGCTTCCATTATCACCGTAGGTCATACAAAATATTTCACAAAACGAAAAACCCAATAAACACTGATCCCTTAGATTATTCCCAATTTCTTGTTCCAGGCTGCCGGAGAGCCGTGGATGTTGCCTTTGTGATCGATACGTCCGGGAGTGTAACACAGGCCAATTTCAACAGGATTATTCAATTCCTTAAGCTGTTTGTGGATCGCTTTGACTTCCCTGACAGCGGCACTAGGTCAGTGTCAGCGAGATAAGTTTTAAGTAAATGAGCTCGAATGGGGTGGAATCTGCTCCAAAATTTTGAGTGCGCTGAAGATTTGCTTGAAAGAACCACAGATTTTTCGGAAACCGCATGAGTGATGCTTTTAAGGACACCTGGACTGAGTAAAAGTTTTCCCACGCCAAATAGGTATGGGGAAAACCAAAACGTGAACAGTGAAAGAGATTATAAATGGCCCACGAGAGATAAGATTTGATTCGTCTACAAACCGTGACCTAGTTGTTTCAGAGTAATACCATGTTATTTGTGCACTGAACCGAGAGGCCGCCCATCTCAAGTCACGTGAAATGGCTAGTCCGTCCTGGTACTCTCTCTGGATAGTGGATAGTGTACTGGACCAAACTCTCTCCCCCCCAGGCTTCCCTGACAGTTTGACGGAACCCACCTATACCCTTGGGAGGTGAATGGCACTGTGAGAGTGCGGTGTCTTGCCGAAGAGCTCAACAAAATGACCCACACCCAGGGTTTGAACCTAGAATGTTCTTTCCAAACTCTTTTTAGCGAATCAAACACCTGGCCATTACGTCTCCGGCTCTGTTCTCACACGCTATTCACACTAATTTTCTATTTTTGTTGAAGATTCGCCCTTTTGAGGTACGATCATCATGTGTGCATCGACCTAACTTTAGAAGACTCTGTTTTGTACTCCTTACACGGGGTCAAAAACAAGGTTGGTGAGATGCGATACACTGGAGGTTCTACACTCACGCACCTGGCTTTGAAGGAGGTGAAAGATAAGATATTTAAGGGGGCTCCCAGACATGGTGTGCCCAGGACATGTATCCTTATGACTGATGGAATAACGCACGGAGGAAGCCTGGCAGTCAAACAACCCTCTTCATATCTGAGGGTAGGTTTATCAACAATGCGAGTTCCTCTTCACATTCTATTGTAGGCTATGTTGTCACGGCTATTTGTAAACTTCACGCTATTTGTCATATTGTAATAATTTAAGCATTACTCTTTGCCTCTTGAACAGTCCTTGATTTCCCTTTCGTCAGTTTCTAAATATCAGGGGTTGTGTTGACAACAAAATTTAAGTTATAATTCTGGCAAGCACGTTAACTCATGCTATTTCAGATATTTTTTTCATGACATACACCTAGTTCTATTTCATTCCTTTTGTCATGCAACATTATTGTACATGTGATCAGAACAGTTATGTTATTGGCTTTCTTTAGGTCATCAACTTGATAAATAAAAGGTTTCGTTCACCACATTTTCATAACCAGCTGTAAAGGGGACTTCTGCATAGCACTTAAGCACTTGTGTGTATACGAGTCTGTCCAAGCCACATGTGTGTGACTCCTTCCAAACAAATTTATCCATTTCTCGTTCATGTTTTCTGTCTACAGACCTTAGGTGTTCATATCATAGCAATTGGTGTCGGTAGCGATGTAGATTCTCGTGAGCTTGCATACATTGCGGAAAAGAACGTGATCCTTTTGACTTCATTTGATGAAGTACTGGCAAAGGCGCACCAGACAATTGAACAGCTCGTCCGCGGAACTTGTGGGACTGGGCACTAGGTAAGTCGACACCTTGTGAATTAGTAACATGACACGATCAGAACTTTCTAAGGCCGAGGAAGAAATGTTCTCTAGGACCTCAGGGACAGATTCCTTTGGACGCACGCGTCGTTTAAAGTCAGTGGACCTCCAAATTTATCCCCAAGTGGTTTTGGTTGATAAAATGTTCCTCAGAGTATTTTTTTGTGAGCCTTGTTGTCACTATTCACAAACAAGTGGAAACACCTTTCTAATAGGTGGAATAAAAAAAAAACAAACAAACAAAGACAAAATTCAATGACTTTATCTTTATAATTCCTAAAAAATAAGTCGTTCATTGTGCACTTTACAAACATGGTTTAGGTTTCAAAGATTATACAGTTGGCTATGAACGTTAGTGAACTGACCATGTCACATTGTAATTTGAGTATCTCTCTGACTTTATCTTGCAGAAGTAAAGCGAAAAGTAGGTGAACAAAGCCTGTTGGTAGCAGCTATTTAAATAACGCACACTCTGTTAATCAAAGTTGGAACAAGCTTCATTTTCAGTGCTTATAACATATCAAAATATATTGATTTCAGTTCATGTGTTTATGGCCTGATTTTTTCAGGATACTGAAGTTGTTGTGCATTTCATTAAAACTGTATGAAGACGGAATACACTGACTCAAGTAAACTTTTTGATTTGTGTTCAGTTTCGAACTTTCAAATGATGTAACTGTAACATCCAACCCTTTTTTCGAGCAAGGATTTTTTGAAAGCGGGATTTTGCTCTAAGGCTTCTTGAATCGATGTCAACAGGTCAGAGAATATCTTTGAATTGCAAATCTCAAACGAATACGCTTGAACAAATTTTCTAAAGAACAAACAGAATACAAAGTACAATCAGTCCTGCTATAATATATAAATCTAAGCATTGTTCAATAAGTCACTTAATCTTCAACATTAACCATGATGTATTTGCTCATTTAGGTATCTGTTCAAGGATACTTATGGGGTTGATCAGTAATGATTCGTGAGTTTCATAACTGAACCCTTAAACACCTAAGAGTGACCAGCATCTAATTTCTCCAAACAGTATCGCCTCTGAATCACAAAAAGGTCATGAGAAGAAAAGAAATGATCACCAACTTAAAGAGTTCTTGATCGCTAAACATATTCTCCTGCATTATCATGGGAAATGTATAGAGAACAGTCTGGAGAATATAAGCACTGTCGTTAGAGTGCGAAGGGTCAAGAATGCGCTAAAAATTTTATGGCTATTATGAAATTTTGTTTCAGAGTTTAGCTGTGAATATACTTGTTTTGTTCGCCAAACTCCTTTGATTTTTGTGTGGACACAATGCAGCTTCAGTTACGATAACACTACATGCCAGGCTGCCTCGGCAAAACACGTACACGTTTTTAATGGAGAGTTCGAAATGCGCACTCAAAAGAATCCTCTAAATATACAATAAAAAGTGGAAAACGGATTTCCCTTAAGTCCAAGATAATCGGGTTTTAATCAACTGACATTTGTCCTTTTAAGACAACAGCAGTAGAGTTGGTAAAAGTTCTCAACCTCTGCGTACTTAGCTGCCACGAATAAAATAACTTATTTTTGTATATTTTCTTTGTACCCAGTGATGATTTGGATGACCACAAACATTGAAATATGAACTCTGTTTATATTAAGAGAGGCTTAAGCTCTGATAATAGTAATTAAATTGAATAAATTTACTCTTTGAGGATCCATCTTTTGAACTTTCTGCCACTTTTGCGGCTTTTACCATCAGAAAGTTAGGTTTATTATCTCTGTTCCCGACAAAGACTGATTTCAATATCACAAGGGAAAGATCACTGTAAAATTATTCTTTTCGTGTTACCGGGTATTCCTATTTGTAGTGCAAACTGGCGCGCTCGAAAGGATTAACACTTCCAAACCACTTGACAACCAATGATCAACTATGAAACATTTCTATCACCTGACGCAACCGCCTAAAAAGGATTTGCAATTTGTACTTTTCAGAAATAATTAGTTCTCTACCTCTCACTGGTTCGCTTGCAATAATAGACCAGACGTCTGTGTTGTTCCTTTTTCTGAGAGGTAAAATATTAGATCGCTTGCCCTTTTTCAACTTAGAAAGAATGCAAGTAGTATTTCATTGTCGGTGTTTTAATTTCAATTGATAATTTATCTTCACTTGAAGTCCGAGGCGCACTCACGCGTGTTCACAAAGCCGTGCGAAAAAGTTGACTTTGTGAAGCCGACGCCCAGAAACATCGTATTTAATCACGTGCTATGTCCAACAAGGCAATGAAAGTTCTATTTCGTCTCTCATATTATATACATCATTTCGCAGTTCTGCTGACCAACACTATCAAAGTTTCTAATTGACACTCAAACATCAAATCCTCTAGAACGGTTCGCTAGTTTTGTCGTTTTCTTTTTTCGAATCATTTTATGCCCTGGCGGCTTCTTGTTTTGGTGACACGTGCGTCCGTGCTAACTGTTTTTGAATCGTGTCAGTTGTACAAATATCAAATATGTATTCTGCCGCTGAAAATTGAAAAGATTGTTAAAGATAAATCGCTGTGCACACACACCCTGCTCATTCAAATTCAGATCTTAGTACCATACAATAAAACGGCTTTTTTTATGATTTAATTAAGAATGTCTTGAGTTAAAATACGGTTGGTTAAACTTCCTTTCTGCAACCTGTTTTAATTATCGACCAGCTATTGGGTTTCTTTACTTTCTCCGTCAAAAATGTGATAAGAATCGAATCAATGAGAGACAGTAGAAGTTTCAATACGATGAATGTATATATGTATATGAGAAGTACATAGCACTATCTTAAAGTGATAACTGATCTCAATGAGGTTGACCGTAAGCCGTAAAACAGCCACAAAATTTAGCCGGTAGGCGTAAAAATTGAGAAATTTAACCGTTAGTCGAAAAAAGTCAACCATAATAATTTTTCTTATGACTGCAACGGAAAGAAAATAACATAACCAGCTGTAAAATGGCCCAACATTTTATCCTTTAGCCGTAAGGGGGGGTTGGATTAATGGTAAGTGGGAGGGGGGGGGGCGGTCGGAGAACTTCATATGTTACCTGGGACGGGTAACTGCCGCTTGGTTTCGAGGCCTTCCATCATAATCAAAGAATACAATTAAAAAATTTAATCTCGACTTTAGATTATTGAATGAATTCGACCTCGGACACGCGATTGTTAGCGAACTGTTGTTGAGCTCTTTTATGAGGAGCAAAAATTGGACAGTCGTGATTATCGGACCAAAGTAAGCCTCTTGTGATTGAAAAGGTTTAAAAAAATGCTAACGTGTAAGTATCAAGTTTATGTCAGGAAAAGATTTTTGCAAAGACTCGTCTGATATTGCTGACGGCGAGGGTAAATTTCCCGCCAGTATAATGCACCAGTTCTACAATTCGAGGACTTTGAATTCAAAGTGTTATCGTCCTACAGCCCAAAGGTCTTTAAAAGTGTCGTTGCGCAACTGTTTATCAGGTGTAGTATCAACATTTGTATCTTACACGTAGCGTACTTTGTTATACTCAGTTATTTTCTTTGACTTGGTTGGAATAGAATGTTACATTCTCATTGCGCTCACGCCATCAATCGTTTTTAAACTGACCTTAAATGAAAGTTTTTGTAATCATTATCGAGGCCCGTGTTATGAAACTGGAAGAAAATAAAGCTATTCTTCATGTATTTCAATAAATATGCGATGTAAAGAAGTACCTGGAAAATGATATTGGCCTTAAGAAATAAATCGTTTGTCTAAATATGAAACAAATGCAGATCTAATCCTTTGTTCTTCTCAAAAAAAGAGATATGTTCACTTCGATTTTGGCAATTGTTTTAAATCAGCGTCTTTTGTCACACAAAGCAACGATGCTTCAAGGACACAGCAAAAGTTAAAATAATGATAATAATAGTAGCTCAATCTTATTGCATTTGTATGCTGTGGAAAATATGCGAAGACCATAATAGAAATAAACCAAACGTTCTCGTATTTCATTTATTTTCTTGGAAACTTGACGAAAACTAAAATTATTTTTTTCCTTTAGCAGAAAAAAAGAACTTTGAAACATATATCTAAAAACTGATTTTCAGCCAGTTGTTTTACTGACTAATGGCTTCCAAAAGAAACGGCGAATCTCCCTTTGTCAGTATACAAGTCCCGAAAACGGATGCCAATTGGTATATTTTTTTTCGTTTGCACGAAATCTATGTTTGCTGGTCACTAGCAAACAAATTCACAGAATCATAAATCGCGGCATGAACTTTGAGACTATCCCCTCTACATTGAAGGTAGTTTTCTTAATTTTTCCGCCCATGTAAAATTTGAACTTTAGAAGGACAACTGGAAATTCTATTAAAAATAAAATTAAAAAAAAAAAAAAGTGAGGTTTATTAGTCAGATACAAAAAAGAGACTTTCCTCAAGAACGGAAATCGTAGGGAAGTGCATGCAGTGCAGGTGAAAAAAATTAGCATTGTTTCATGGTAAGTGTCGAAGATGTAGCGGAGGATAAAACTCACATCCAATTTACTTCTTATTAGACGCCGGAGATGCGCCTTTTAACAGAAAGTGAATAGTTAAAGTAAATAAACTACTTTCTGTCTTTGTAAAATAAGCCGGAATTAAAAACCAATTCAAAGAAAATGGCCAATTATGTAGCAGTTTTAGTCTAATTAAATTGCGCTTTTTTTCAGGTTTAAATTGTGGGTATGACATCTTTAGAAAGCAATCAGATATCATGTTATATTTACTCTACTTTCTATTTTTTCTTTACAAATATTAATTGGACAATTTTAGACGCTTTGCGCAAAGCGCGCGGACGTTTTATCAAAAAACATATTCCACGGTAAAACTTCGGTTTCATTTTTGTGCGTCATAAAATCTGTACTGAAAAGTTTCATACACCGTCTTTGAGAAAGAATAATGTGCGCTTTCAGCAAAAGGATAAGAGATGGTTTGACATGAGAAAAACTGAAGTTGTTTCATGATCAGATAAAGTTAAAATAACACATTTTGACCAGCGTAACTCTTTAACTGAATCATTACTACCTGTCTAATGATCCATCTTCTATTAAATAGCTTTGTTAAATTTACTGCTCGGGTAAAAAAGGGAATAAAGAGGAAGAGAGAGAAATTAAGAGATTTATAGAGAACCAAAGCAACCGGTTTGTGCGTCTCAAGTTGTGTAGTTTTATGAAACTTTGGAATAAATCGAGGTATTTTGATTATCTGATGGCTTGTTTGGCACTGTGAATGACATTTCTGCTGTGCGCGTTTATTAAAATGATATTAAAAAACGTGTGTTAAAACAAAGACTTTATTCTTCAGGACAGCGGCCATCTCAATTTAGACCGACTGAGAAAAGAATGAGCAAACAAATGCGAATGAGAGGAAATTTGAGTTTACATTTTCAAGGGTAAAAGCCAATTCTCTTTTGCCATCTGCTGCGGTGAAGGACGTTAGTCTAATGTAAACTTTCAACGGATCATAATCAGGTCTTTATTTATCTGGAAATATCAAATTTTATTCAAGTGTCTTTGTAGCCACTGGGAGTTTGTCCTTAGTAATTGGCTTAGAATGTATCTAATTCCATCTTGGAAACAATCGTGTTTTGTTTGGCAGAGTATCTTGAGCGGTAAATTATTTTCACTGTATTCTTTTCGCTTCTATGACTGCTTGAAAAAAAACTCGTATTTTCCCTTATTTTACTTAAAACAAGAGTGAAATTTCTCAGAATTATCGAAAAATGTCAAAATGCTACAGTGATAGCGGATGTAAAAATAAAAATGTATACTTTGTGCGGTAAAACGCGTTAATTTCGCCGGTAGCCATTGATTAGAAGATTCCCTTCCTGCTAAGATGTCGTATCGATACTTCTAATCAATTATACATTTATCTTGGTGATAGAAAAATATCTCTTTTATGTTTACAAAACGTGTAAAACCGCGGACATGTATAATCTAAGCACTGGCAACAATTTCCTCGTAGTGTTAGATGAACGGTGATGACAGCAGGGCAATTTAAGGTTTAAAACATTTGTACTTTACCAAAAGATAAGCACAAGGCTGGAGTTTATGCCTCCTTTATTAATATCACGGTTCCTGTTGACAGTCGGATGCAAAATTTCTAAATCAAATCACAATTAAACCTATCCTTGTGACAACGGTGTGAAAAAAAATCACTTGGCTATTATTATGAAATCTAAACTTGACGCATATAGCACTGGCAGGTGACTAGAACAATATGAACAAGACACTGGGCAATTTCCGAACGCAACTCCTAAATAAATCTGACATCGATTTCCTTGGGGTTTCTATCGGTAAAAAAAGAAAGCTATTTCATTGCTTTAAAATTTAAACCATTTCAATTCTGTGGAAGCCAATCGAAGACCCTCGCAATGAAAAAGAAAACTCTGGGGCGGCGCGTGCCACAAATTACCTATATTCACACTCGGTGCTCTAAACACATAATGCGTACCGATAATTAAATTTCGTGGTGTGATATGAGCCGTTTGTAAGAAAACAAGCAGTTTTGAATGCGGTGATACTGTAATTAAAGTTATACAATGGTGTCTTGCAACGTAGGTTGCGAAAATAAAGCCATATAACTGTAGCTCCCCCTGTCTTCGGAGAAAGTTGTTTGGAAAGTATTTGCGGACAAGAAACTTTTCCAATATGGACGATATATGGCTCCTGTTTGGACAGCACGTGTCGAACACATTATCTACAGATTCTATATACATAGATTCAACATTTCAAAGCAATGGATCGCTAATTGTTTTGATGGCGAATAAAAGTGTAAAAAAGCTGCGAAAACACTTTACCGCCCAAACAAAAGTCATTGATGAGCAGATTAAATTACAAAGATGCTAGCGATCTACACGGTCTTTCATTTGAGGCACCCACCTTTAATTAGCTTTACCAGCCAATCACCGCTCAGGTGGGTCACGTGATTATCCTGGCAGCTGGTCTAGTCAAACTACAAGGTGCGACAGCAGTGTACAAGTCCAAAAGCCTCTTTACCATTCGTCAGAGACTATAAAACGCCACGACCTCCGAAGAGGAATTCGCCAATTTTTACTCGCCGTTTTTTGGTCAGGTGAAGACATGGAGGTCGAACAACACACCGTAGTAGGTAGGACGAAGAGAGTTTAAGTTTACTCATTCTTTCGGTATTCTATTGACAAGCCTACGGAAGTTTTCCATGGAGTGAGTTTAAAAGTTTAGAGTTCTTAAAGGGTTTTACTTTTAATTAAAATCCCATTAGCTAGAATACGACACTGAGGTGTAGCTATGTTTCCGCTACAAAAATGTAGACTCCGTCTTTATTTTTTTCACTTCGGACGGCGCGTAACTGTGTAGCTCGTCTTGGTATTTCAATTACGCCTGGGGAAAGGCTTCCTCTGGTGCTATTCCATTTCCATGGAATCACAGGAAACCAAAATTATTATACCAGTGAAAAATATTTCTTTGGCTAAACTCTATTCCGCTGCCTTGTTGGAGTATTATTTTGCTCAGATAGATTTGAAATTAATCCAAAGCAAGTTCAAAACTTCGACACTTAGGGTCTTGCGACACTCATTCAACGGTTTTGTGACTTTTTTGTTTTGACTATCGCATTATTCAGAAGAGCGAGACATGGAGCGCGAGAGCTCTTCCCCGAAGAAACAAGAATCTATTGAGCGTAAGCCCGAAGTGCTGTGCAAAGTTTGCGGGGATATTTCGTCTGGAAGGCACTACGGAGTTTATACGTGCGATGGCTGTAGCGGTTTCTTCATGCGTAGCGTGCGAAGAGACATGGTCTACTCCTGTAAGGGCAACGGAAATTGTGTTGTTGACAAGAAACGACGAAATCAGTGTCAAGCTTGCCGGTTTCAGAAATGCCTCGATGTCAAGATGAACAGGTTTGGTAAGTGAGAAAGTTACTCGTAAAGTTATTTTTCGATCGCCATCAGCTCATCATCAACGCAACACGCTCACGCCCCGCAAGTGGCTCAATGGACGGCCAAGCAATTAAAACTCGCCCCGATCATAAAATTTGTTTTCGTTTTTGGCACATATCTTAAGAGAGGGGCTTAACCTAATTCCAGTGTATCATTGTCGAATAATCGACGGGCAAAACGCATTGTACGTGTTGTTTTGTAACTCATTCTAAAATATATCATTAAGGTTCAAAGGAGGTGGAAAGCTTTTATAAAAAATTTGAAGCGATGATGATTCTAGCTGATTTTGTTTGTGATGTTTTTCCTTGTAGCGTGGAATGCGCTTCATTTCCTTTCACTTTGGGAAAAAATTAAATTTTAATTTGGCGACAGAATGTTTACTTGGGAGATCCAAAACGTTAAAATTGCAGGATTTTGTCGAAAAGTTCCCAAAGTCGATTTGCAAGAATCTGTTTGATGTGTAAGTTGAATTAGGGAAGATATGTTTGATAAAGATTGAAAGCGCCCGAAGGTTTTTACCGTATTTTACAATGTTTGGTATTTCGGAATTTTCTTTAATTTGACAATGTGATAGATATTTGGTAGATGATATTTTGATACTCCGGTGGAGCCACATTGTTCCCTAAATACATTGAATTTCGAAGACAGCAATTAGTTCCAATTAATCTTTATAATAAAAAGGAAACGTCAAACTTTCCTTCCATTCTTTGCTGACAACAAATCACTGTGTATTTTCGCAAGCTGCGGTTTAAGAACCTTCGCAATTAAAGTTTATTTATTCTAAGCCAAGGCCATGTAGTTCTCTAAGAAATTAGAGTTTCCCAACGAAATGAGTAAATAAATGTGTCCTAATGAAAAGCTAGCATGATATCTCGGGCAGATTAGAAAAACAGTAAATTGTTTCAAGTGATAATCTGCGGCATTCCCGAGAAGGACATATGTCCAGCTAATGAGCACAGGTGAAAACAGGTCTTTCAAATGATTCACGAGGAAAAAAAACAGTTGGTGGTTTCCTTGAGAAGGAGATACTTTCCTTTAGTTGTAATGTATAAAGGGCGCTACATAAGCTACTAGTGCATCAGAAAATTCGCCTCTTTGCTTCTGGGAGGCGAAAAAGATTGAATGTGTTGGGATGTCGCCCTAAATCGTTTACCGCAGGTGATCACCAGATCAATTGCAAAGACATTTTGTTCCATTCATTAAAATAGACAGACCGTGTTTTTCTTTTCAAAGGAAACTCACCCGTATTCTTTGATAAACAATAAACTGAGTTCTTCAGTGAAGAAACAAATGCTCCTATTGTCTTTACTCAATACAATTTCTAGGTTTAAAAAAACTTTGTGCAACTCGGACTTTGAAGCCTTACTTTAACTACACAGCTTCGAAGCAAAAGCAGTGTCTTGATTCAAACTGGGTTCTCAAACGAAAAGAAATTACTCTTGCCAAGCTAGAGAACCGGTGTTAACACAATTATGGTTTATTTGAAATTTAGGCAATTTAGAACCTCCACGCCGCTTGTTTTGAATAGATTAATATCGATAGTGATATACTATTGTAATATAGGGACGGACAGTGGGAACTCGATCCAAAGGTAAACAAAAACGCGTGGCGCCCTAAAAATATTGAAACGCCTTTTTTTTTTACGATATTCTTACTGATGTTGCTGAAAACCCGCCCTCACTGAAAATATCCATTTGTCGCTATTAGTTCGCGTTTTCGACGCCTTTAAGCTTCTTTTCGAAGAACGTAAGTTGCTTAAAGGTTCCGTATAGTACGCTATGTTTAAGAAACAGCTTTTGTGTTGTACGTGCGTTTGTAGTGAACAATGGTTTCTCGTTTTCTATGCTTCGTTCTGTACATTGTCTTGGATGAGACATTACAATTTAACTCGATTATAAACAGGTTGTTATGTCATCTGATCCTCTCGAGTTTTGATAAATGTTATAAATGCACCGACTTCCCTCTAAAAAAAAGTTTCGCAAACTTCTCGTCACGCTGTTGAGTTGCGTGTGAAAAGCTGCTTTCCAAGCACTCATTTGATGAAGCCCAAGATTTTTTATGAAACCACTAAATGCCAAGATAGTTTCTTCCTTTACGAAGATATGTCGCTGATGAACAACAAGCAGGAGGTCTATCCGCTGCTAGTATTTTAAAGCCACAATCAATTTGCGACAAAAAATTAGTGTTATCAGAAATTCTTACGCGTTACAAGTTTCCTTGATAGAAAACAGCGCCCTCAACTCACTTACGTTGCTTGCGAGCAAACGCATTTGTTTTAACGTTCTTTGAAATAGAATTGTTCGTGCAGGTTGAATATTACCTTTCCTGTCTACTGAGAACTAAATAGACACGCTAGAAAACTTAACCGCTTTTCATAAAGTCGAGAAACTTAACTCTCCAAATCATAGAGCTTCTTTCAAACATGTGCAATTCAACTTCAATATCAACTGGAAATAAAAAAATTAGGGTTTTAAAAAAGAAAGCTACAGAAAGGTTTTTTTTTATCCAAAATAGAACTGACACTGCGTTCTAATTTTGTTCGAAATAATATGTTTAACTGCGAAAATTTTTTATTCTTTGCATCGATGACAGATCTAGAATACGTAAAGATGGGTCACAGTTTTCAACGTCAGATCTGAAAGAGTCAGACGAACGTTGCAGAAAATCAATGACATACCTACTATTAAAAATGGCACTGAAATGACAAATAAAATAGGGTGGTTCTTTTTCCTTTTCTTATGCTGTCAGTAAGTCATAACCAGCGGAATGAATGCGGGAATGTTCTGCTTTTGGATGGTCTCTGTGGTAACAAGTCCACGGGGTGAGAAGGGCTGAAAATTAGCGAGTCATTTAAAAGATGTTTTTCTGGCTTTATCGTAATGAAAGCACTTCAAACCATGTGAAGACTCGTTAAGTAACGTGTCACTAAAACACCCGCTGTATTGTTCGAGTCATAAACAGAGAGGCCCGTGCGCCAAGTATAATGTAATTGAAAAAAAAACCTTTTGTGAATCGTTTCCTAGGTTATACTGTTAAAAGAACAGGTACGCTTCTACTAAGAGAACTTCTAGAAATTTTTATTGTTCTCATAGTTGGGTTTGAAAATGCAAGTACAATGTGTGGCCATTGACAATCTTCAGTATGTTGCCAGGCCAAAGCATCAGAACTCATTCCAAACAAAAGCACCGGTTGTTCAGTCTCCTAGTTCGACAGACTTTTGTCAGCAAAAAAACGATAGAATTAGTATGACTTGAAGGCTGACAATTTTCATAATATTGAGTTATCGACGGTGTAAATGAGGCATAGGTTTCATTATATTTATAAAAGTTCAGAACCGTTTCGTTTCTAGGATGCAAAGGTATGTCTAAGCAATGTTAACGGCTCTAAACAATACATTTTGCACTTTCCTAAAATTGATCAACAATTTACCTGATAGTTAATTTTAAGAAGATATCTTTCATTTTAAGACTGAAATATCCCATGCTGTCGCCACAAATAGTCAAATGAATATCAAACTTCTCGGTAAAAAAATAAAAAGGTTAAAGAAAATGAAAATATAATCATGTCTCTGAAAAGGTGTTCCTTGTTATGCTTCGCATGAATAAAATATCTGCTGCCACTCTCAAACAAGATGTTACTCAAGGTGGTACATTTTAAATATTTCATAGTTAAGGTTTCATAGCTTTTATCTATTAATACGTCTTAGGGCTGCATTGGCAAGAACAAATTTACAGATAGCTACTGCGCTCAACACGTTATCGATATACATCACAAATTTCGACGCGAAAAATGGATATTTTCTAGGAAAAGAAAAAACTCCTTGGCCGGAATCCAGTGACATGACCTTCTAAAAAATTCATTCAACGATCATAGAACTTTGATATGTAGCCTAAAACAATATCTTGTAGTTTCACTCTTTTAAATTGCATGAATAGGTATACAGTTTAACCTGAACACATTCTTCAAGAGTTCGCGGTGAAAATGTCTTTCAAGTGTAAAGTAAATACAATCAAGGCGAGCGCTAAATGAAACATGCCAACTTTTTGATTAAAACGATAAATTTGACTACAGTGAACCAAAGACTTGTGCTCTTACATATTTTGAATTTAAATCATTGTATTTTCACTGTGGGAAGAAAACGTGCAGTATTGCTCGGAGGGGAATTTCTTTCAAAACTACTAAAACTATAAACTGTACTGTAATTTTGTCCTATAATCTTATCTTAATTATTGATGCAACCATGGATCGTAAACCTCCCAAAAGGTTTCTCGCCATATAGATTGTAAAAATCCCTTTTCTCGCACTTGTTACCGTGCATTCTATTTCTGTTGCCGTGCGATTGTTTAGAAAGCAGAATCACGTCCAAATTCGTTCATATTTTGCTACAAATATCAAACGAATTGTCTTATTTTGTCGTTTTCTAGCCGTGCAACAAGAAAGACAACCGAATTCCGCTCGCCTTCTCAAACCGCCCATGGGGGATGAATACGCCAGCAAACTCGTGAACAGTGACTTCCTGACGAGTCTGATTGTCGCGGAACCCTGCCGGGAAGCCGTACATCGCTTTGGGCATCAAGCGCCAGGAATTCCTTATCCATCGCAACAAGAAATCGCTACCTCGCTGTACTGCTCGACACCCGATGCCATCTGTGAATCTGCAGCGCGTTTGTTGTTTATCTCAGTAAAATGGGCACGAAATATCCCTTCGTTTGTGAATTTGCCGTTTAGAGATCAAGTTATTTTGCTGGAGGAAGGCTGGAGGGAGTTATTTATCATGGGAGCCGTCCAGTGGAACATGCCTCTCGAGGTAGCACCTCTCCTGGCCGCGGCAGGAATGCATGTGGATAACACGCCTGCGGAAAAGATTGTCGCTACTATGGCCGATATTCGTATGCTGCAAGAAATCAGTGCGCGATTTCGAAGTCTTCAAGTTGGCGAAGCGGAGTTTGCGTGTTTGAAAGCAGTGGTTCTTTTTAAATCCGGTGAGTTGATAGAATTTAGCATCAGAGCTTTAAAAAGAATATACTGCCTTTTTTTATGTTTAATTTGTCCCATTCGTCGTGGTCAAGCTGATGTGCATCTCACAAAAAACTTGAATAAATAAGAAATCATATCGTCATTTCACTAAAATCCGCATTATAAATTCCCCCCGAATAATCTCTCGTAGGAATATATTCTATAGCAGTTTTTCGAAAAAAAATTATATTCACATGTCTTACGAGATGTAAACAGGACATACATTATGAAGTATTGAAGAAAAGTACTGCTTCCAAAAGTTATTATTTAAATATGGAAGTTTTTAATTTTCATGTTAAGCAAAACTTTTATTCTACTTGGTGATGGCACAAAACAGAAGAATATTAAAACCATGCTTTGTATACTGTTTTTGACACGTTTTTAAAGAAAAACAACGAAGCAAAAGGTACAATAGCTTATCATACGCCTCAGGTTCATTGAGGTCTTTATCTTGTGATGGATTGGGTTTAGAAAGCATTTACACTGAGTGCTTGTAACAGAAATGGGCGTTCTTGTTCTTAATGGTCTGACCTTTCTTAAAACCCCACTAATGATTCAAAATTAGAAGTCTTGTATTTTGAAAGTAAAATTTATTCTAGAAACGAGTAATCTATTTGGAACTCCACACGAGCACATGTTGTGTAGGTCGGAGTCGCGCGCTGCTAACCACTTAGATTAAAACGCCAAGAAGATTAGCCTCGTGTAGGGAGTTTTTTAGTTCTTCTTTATTAACTGTGCGTATCAATAACCATATCATAGAAAAATCAAAGCCGCTTAATTTACGCTAATTACAATACGCTTTGCTGCGCGCAACAAGCCTACACTGCTTCTCATTTATAATTAAAAGAACCATTTCTCTATGATTGAATTTCTTAATAAGACTGTGTGCTTCGGTTATTGAAATATGCCTAATTACGACCGTAGTGAATTTCTCGTATTAACTTTAATCAAATATGAAACTTATACTCTTTCATATTTATGATGTCGCAGAAACCCCATCTGACTTGTTATCTGCATCGAATAATTTTGCCTTTAAATATAAAACATTAAGTCAGGCGGCCTGAAATCTAGCTTTCAATTTATTTGTGACCAATTGCGAGAGTTTTATGATCTTCAGTGCAACAACGCGTGTTTTTGTGAGAAACTTGAAAACATATGAAGTTTGTTTTTTATATTTGTCAAATAGTTTAGAGTCTCGTTATTCCACTGTCGGAGTTCGAAGTTTCTTCAAAGGACTTCAAGTTGACGTGGGTTTGAGAGGGTAGAGATTATAACAAAGTGCTTAATGGAACATACCGCAACAAGACAAATTGGTACTCGAATGGAGTACTCTAAGATTACCATCTACAGCCTGCAGTCCAAAATTGGGCGGCATTGTAAAGGGCAGGTATTTGATGTTTACACACCACAAGCTCTGAATAGAAAACAGTTGTTACCAGACAAGGAAAACACTGAAAAATTTAAATGCGTATAGTTTTCTATTCCTGCCCTTTCTTCTGTTGCATGCTCCTAGCATATGGAAAAACAATCGAGAAGGTATGAAATATTTTCGAACTTTCGAATATCAAAACACTTTCGAATCACTCAAAGCTTAAATAGTTCTCGATATATCAAATCTACTTTTTCGATATATCACAGGGTTAGAGGAAATCCATGACGCAAAAATATCGATTTTCTTCTAAAAGTGCATGATAAAATGAATGTCTCTGTATCGATACATAATATCTAACAATGCTAAATAATGAAAGTTCTCGTCTTTAGTGTCTGTGGCTTGAAAGCAACGTGACGGATATTTTTACTCTGCGGTTTTCTTAAAAACAGGTGTTTCTTGGAGAGTAATTCAATAAAAAAATAATCTGGGATCATTTTACCACCCGTCATGCTTCGAATGTCAAGTTTTATTCGGTAATATGTCCAATTTACTGCTATTCTGACCCAACTTACCACGTAACTAAGTAAGTCACGATACAAGTCGGTAAAAATCAGTGATTTTATTAAAGCTTTTTTATGACTTATTCATTAACTTTCAATTGACACTGTTTTTGAAACGTTTTAGACACGTCTTAGGAAAGGAAAACTTTACAGGAATGCCGAATGCTGGACATAACATGATACAACCGTAAACTCGAAAAGTGGGTTGACTTCCCGTGGCCTAATCAGCTGAAGGGTAGCATGATGTGGGAAAATAAATTTGGCCTGTCCTCTCCTTCAAATCTTAAAGAGCAAGAGAAAACTCACTCCCTAAAAGTTTTGTTCACATGATTTCTTTACGTTTGTTTATCTGAAAGCTCGGTCGTCAAATGAAGGTTGACCTGTTTTCTTTATATAGGCATACGGGCAACTGAGTGAATTAACTAGGAAATTTTTTTGTTTTTACATCTCTCGTGACATTAGGCGATGTACATACAACACTATGTTCCTCGTTCCTAGATCGTTGTTGACTAAGACTAAAAAAGCTCTCATGAAGTAAATAATCCTTTACATATACATGGCTAGTGTCCCACAAAGAACTTTAATTTATTAAAATTTTGTAATTTCTCTCATACATGGTACTCCTTGGGCGTTTCATTGTGTATAACGATATCAAATGTTGTGGTCAACTCAGTTTTGAGCGTCAATGAAATCAGTGGACACCGAGTAAAACATCACGTTCTATTCAAGTAGCTAGCTTATCACACAGCTTGTCAAGCCCGTCCGAAAATTCACTTACTCATTCACTATTGCACTAAAATATTACTGTGAATTGTATGAGAATTCAAGTCACGAGGACAACTTATCCGACTCGCAGGGTTAAGCCAAATATGAAAGATGCACGCCTCAAACTTGCTTTAAACCATCTGTTAATCTCCCTCTGGGTCAATGAAAGTGAATTTTTTTAAATTAACAACATATCTTGGTATACCTTCCCTCCATATGTTAGAACATCCCTTCCAGATAATCTTGCATCTCCCCCCGTCTACACTAATTTTTAACCAACCGTTCCGTCCTCGCTGACAAAAGTTTTTTCCCCCTAAAAATCAGAGCTCAGAGGACTGCGAGATCCACAGCAAGTGGAGTGCTATCAAGACCAAGCACAGATCATGCTGGGAGATTACATCAGGAGGCACTTTCCCGGTCAGCAAGTTCGCTTTGGGAAGCTTCTCTTGATGCTGCCGTCCCTGAGGATGGTGAATCCTAAAACTATTGAAGAACTGTTCTTCCGGCAAACGATCGGGAGCGTGGCTATTGAGAGCTTGCTTTGCGACATGTTCAAGTCAAGCTGAACAGGACTCGTTCATAGATCGATAACCAAAATACGAGCGCTTACATAGAACAAAGACAACCTATACCACATTAGCTGCTCGGTCGAAGTGACTTACTTTTCGAAAATTGTATGGTTTTTAAGATTGTATCATACTAGAGATGGCAACCTCTTTACAAGTCATGATTAGTGAATCGTAGCCACATTCACTTTTTCGTTTATAGAATATAAATCGGCTCTTGAAAGAATATTGACCGTAAGTTAACAAAAAATTAATTAATGTAAGCTAGGAAATAAAACGCACTTTTGCGCGTTCTTCTTGTGGCAACTGAAAACACAGAGAGTTGTCCATAAAGAACACATGAAGTCATTGAAGGACAACTTACGAAAATCAATGTTCTTCGATAAAGAATACAACTTTCAATTTTCAGGATAAAAGATAAAACCAATCTTTAATTTAGAGTAAGGACATGACTGAAGGCTTCTTTAGCAAGCTTTGGATATTCGATGATAACGGACGGTGCGCACTTGCGGAAACATTGTACAACCTCCTCTGCTGAAAAATAGACTGAAACTGATGTAGATTTGTATTAAAGTGAGAAATCTTTACATTGCTTGTGCTCTAGTTGTGTTTCAGTGTTAACCATTTAACTCCCATGATAGAGCGATTGTAACCTGAGAGTCGCAGGCAATCCGTGTTTGCATGGGATTTGCTTCCCCCTTTTGATTGGTCAAAAAAGTTCGCAGCAATATCTCAACCTATCAAATGCAAAACCAGACCAACTGCAACTTGGTCACCCGCGTTTTCCCGCGCCTCAGGCAATTGGCTGTTTCTTTTTTTTTCGTTTCAGTTCCTGGTCTCCTTAAGTAGACTCCTTGTTCTGATTGGACGTTAGGATTACTTTTCCTTGGTTTTACGACGCTTTATCGAAAAGCTCTATGATAAGTAAATCTCCCTTAGACCTGCCATATGTTTCCTAGTTTGGTGTTTCACCACGACAACAAACGTTGGTTCATAAGTTATTTTCTTCACAAGTGGATTATTTATCTTTTTCACTAGGAATCCGCTTTTGAACAAGTAAAACTTACGCTGATTTATGCGCCGAAGTGTGAAACAGCTCGTGATATTTTCCCCGGTCGTTTCTTGGCCCTTTTCAGGGTTACTGGTCTTTCGAGTTAATCTTTGAGAATAGAATTCAATTAATCGGATATGAATAATATTCAGTATAAACACTGGTATGACCAAACTGTGTTCTCGATATGTCTCAGGGATGAAGTTGCATTTTCATTAGTACGCAAATATCTTTAATCAGTGCTACAACTACCGATAAAAAAGCATGCAATTTACAGATTGTAACAAATCTTGGTATTATCAACTAATCTCTACACGGCTGTGATCTTTTTCTAGCTTAAACTGTTTTTGGCTACAGCCATTAACTATCAATGATTATGGGTAGACTCTTCATTTCATTGCTGAAAACAATCTTACAAATCAACACCTTAAGCAAAACGTTTCAATAAAAAAAGAGAGCGGTGTGAAGAGGTAAATATCAATTTGAGCATAAATGACTTTGCTTGCAAAACAAGAGAAGTTTTCAACTTGCAACAAAACCAGTCATAAACTATCCCATCGCAAAGCAAAGTGACCTTCACTCAATGAAAAATCCACACGGCTATGATTAACAGAGCATACATTGCCGTGGGCATGGAAAGAGAATTTCCTCCACTTTTGGGATTCGGGCCACCTCTGCTCACGTGCTTATCACATGTATCCTGTTTACTCTCACTCAAACATAGGGCGTGATCCATCACGTGAAAGACATACGGCTGTTCCACTACTCCATGGAATAAGTAAGCACCAGGTCCGTCTGCGAAAACCCCTGGAAATACGACAAGACAAATTACAACTACTCTCTATAACCTGTTTAGTAGTTGAGGAGTTGAAAACTGTTACCCCTAAGTTCATACGTAATCTGTGCTAGTTTCCTTTTTTCGGTAGGCCGGATCGCTTAATTAACTCGAGAAATTCCGCAAAAAAGAGATCGTCACTAATTGGTTAAATCCTCACGTTTTGACATTTATCTGAGGTTGAGTCCGTTCTGCCTCAACTCCGAAAGGGAAAAAGAGATCATGACTTACCAAGTTTAAAAAGGCACATGACTACGAGGCGACTTCTGACTAGTTTAGTTAGTTATTTTATCGGCATTTCATGTGTTTAACCAAGAAGTGACGAAAGTAGATTGACTGCTCGCTTCTAAATTTCAATCTTTCTCAAACGATGTCATATCAAGAGTAGGACTCATTCTTCAAGCAGATCAGAAATGCCGGAAAAAAACGCAAAATTTTGAAACTTTGAAAACCTTTGTAAATCTAAAAAGAAAAACACTACGAAATATTAGGAAACGGTGATGTAGGGATAGGCATATTTTTCAACAGAAAAAAAATTTGGTGTCAATTGAACTTTTCAGGCAACTGTCTACGACGCGTACTATGACTTACATGTACCAGGAGAGGGGAAAAAGTGGGCTAAGGTGTTACTTTAACCCTACGACTCCCATGAGTGACCAAGACAGAATTTCTCCTAACAATATCAATGCAATATCAAGCAAGCAAGTGATGAGAATAAAGAAAAGCATCAATCACGTGACCATTAGTGGATCCAATACCAATACTGAATTCTTCAAAAAAAACCATCATAATCAGACAGTTGGGAGAATCACTAGTGAGATCTTGGAGTGAGAGGGCTAAGGAGAGGTTTGAGCTTGATCGTTTCTTGCCAACTCTAGTTCTTACCAACATCTTCGGATGCATGACTTTCATAATCAAGGAGGACGGTAGCTTGCTGAAGGAAGTCTTTGGCTTCTGTGTCTACACCGCGCAAGTCTGGGCGGGAACCATTCAATCCACCGGGACCGTCGAAATACCCAAGGGAGGTATATGTCTTACCGAAGGTATCATTGGCTACTTTACCGTCTACCTGTACCTGTACACCCAGCACAGGGTTCCCACGCTTTGTATAGCCACCGATTGTGAAGACGTGGGAGTGATCAGCGGTCACTGTTATCAGGGTGTCTTCTAAAAGAAACAATTTTCGAAATAAGAGCGAAATAAAGCAAAACCATTGTATTCTTGGATTTGAACTGGGTTCAATGAAAAAGGCAGACTCTCTACTTCATGATTGTTAGAGGGTTTTCTGTTCAAGTCTCACTAGATATAAAAAACTCTCATGATAAGAAGTAACACTTGACCTAAATTTCTAGGAGCCACATAACAGCATTGTTGTTCATGCCACCATAAAATTGCTGAAAATTTATACTATGTGTCTGTCTCAGGCTAATAAGAGGTCATAGTTAATAACAAAGCAAAGCGAGCTTAGAATTCTGCAGATTCACCTGTCTTCACAATATCCTTCGCTTTTTGAACTGCTTTGTTGAATGCGACGGATTCATGAAGTGCATTATAGGCCGAGCCATCATGGTGTGCATGATCAATGCGCCCACCTGTGGATAGAAAAGAGAACACGATAACTGAGCTTGATGCAAATTTTTGTCTAAAACAGGGAAGTGAAATAAAGGCACTCTATCGTAAACAAGGTCAGGTTTTTAAGCAACCTTGTTTTCAGTTTACACGTGATTTCTCGCATGCGTTCAGGATATAGGGTGGTTTAGATCAATTTAATGTCGATTTTTAAGGCCGAGAAATCTACGTTTATGCAATGAGAAATGTATACCTTCGACTAAAAGAAAGTATCCCTTGGGGTTCTTTTGTAGTATTTTGATGGCTTTTTCAGTCATCTCTGCAATTGACGGCTCTCCAGGTGTACTGGAGGCGGTTCGATCTGATTCGTACTGCATGTGAGAAGGCTCAAAGAGTCCTGTAACAAAGACGAAAGAATAAACCTTTTCTTTATGCTAATCTTACTATTTTACCACTAGGATTGAGGTGCATTACTTCGTGAGTATTTTTAAAAAAAGAAAAAGAAAAAGAAAAAAAGGTTATTGATAATAAATAACTTAACGAAAAGTATAACACACAGTATTCACATAAGCGCCAATTCTAAATGTACCATTTCCCTCAACAATTTTCGCCCAAATTCTTATAACCTTCAAATTGTTCTATTTGGTTTTCTGTTGGGAGAAAGCTTATGTATAACTGCGGGTCAAAGTGTATTTTGATGACGTTTTTTTTTTGATAGTACTAGTGATATGACCATAAGGCCATGTCTGGAAAAACGGATTCAGAAGACGTACCTAACACGCGATTAACCTTATTCGCGTCAATCTTGTCGAAGGCAGTTTTGTTCCAAACGTACTGTGAGTCGGGATATTTCTCCAGCCACTGTTTAATCAGATCTTTGTTATCCTGCCTGTCTCCTTTCTTTTCCGGATACTCTGGGTCTGACTGGTTTTTGTGCATAAATTCCCGCCGTCCCCCAGCGAAGACAACCTCTATACCATTACCGTGAGGATACTCGACAAGCTGCGTTGCTTGAGAAAGCATACAACAAAAAAATGATTTAATTGTGAAAAACTAGAGATGTGTATTATGTGTGGAATAAAGAATACTTTAAGGTTTTCTGTGAGAATTTGAGCCTCAGATCTTCCAGTTTCGCGACTTCACCACACTGAACAAGAACGTGGACCTCAAGCACCTTCAGGAGGGACAAAACCGCCACGTCTTATTCATTTTCAATCTTTCCCCAAGGGAAAAAACGCAGTGACCGTGACGATCATTCGCACGGTTAATAGTACCTCGCTGTAGACTTTGACGACTTTCCTATCTTACACCCCACCAAACGCATTTAAATCTACAACAAATCAACAGAACAAATGTCAACCATAGCATTGCATCCCAAAAATTGAACCGCTTCATAACGAAACGAAGCCGTCAAAGTAGCTTAATTACTTTGAAAATGGAACCTTTCAAGACAACGCCGGGCGTGTGCGCAGTGGCAACAGCAGGCACTGTCCTTAATAAATAGTTGACGTCACTGCTAGTCGTATTTTATTTCCTACTTAGGTATGCTGACCTTGGAAGACTGGTCTTTTTGATATAGTCTCCCTTAAAGCAACTTAAATACAATCTCATTTATTTACCGATATCTTTGCATGTGGTTCCATCATCCTTTGATTTGATGTCTTTGTCACTTTCCCAATCTCTATTAACTGAGTGCGCGTAAGAACTCGCGGGAGTAGCGTGAGTGGCTCGTGTGGTAGTAACGATTCCCGTGGACATCCCTGCCCTCTCGGCGAGCGTCAAGATCGACACAACTTTACTTTTCTCAGTCATAGTTTTACAGTAGCTTTTTTTCACAGATTCGTCTACACCGAGAACTCCTGATAGGGAATCGGAGAGAATAAGATAAAAATGTTGAAAGAAAATTACCATTTTGATTATGGATGAGGTCATATCTAACAAGTGGAACAAAGGCCAGCTATGCATTCCCCAACAATATTCAAACCTTGCAATGGACTAGCATCCCACCCAAGGGGAGGGAGGTTTACTCCTAGTCGCTTCGTATTAAGGAAAACGGGATAAGCTCCGGGTGGGTGGGCCACTTTACCTTTATACTTATCAGTGGGTGATCCAGTTTCACATGATCATATATAAATCAAATACAATTCAGAAAGGGGTGTATTCTTCTTAGTTGTCGTGTTTTTGTGTTTCCGAGTCTTTCTCCTGCGCGCCTTAAGCAATGTAAGTTGCTTTCTCTAAACATTCGGACCCCCCTGAGAAGAAATTCCTTACAGCGACTACCCTTTTACAACAGCAGTGCTCCTTAGTTACAAAGCTGTTAATCCAAACTATTGACTTTAATCGCAACCTCCAAAAGAAGTAAAAGGCTAATATTCCACGGAGGGCAATTGTTTTTCTCAGGGTGAGGAGTAAGCTCCGACGCATACAAGACTGACTGACGCTTATCCTAATGTCCCCAGCACGCCGCACTTCAGAGTATAACCACTCCTCCTGAATAAAAAGGCTGTTCTATCACAGGTTCCTTCGGTCGAATTCGTCTGTTATTCCTAACTAATTACCATTTACCACTGCGTTACCCATTTGCACGGATCCTGGGAAAGGAGCATTATAGGGGGATAAAAAGAATTGCCTAGGAACACAACACAATAAGCTTGACCAGAGTTCAAACTTGGACCTTTGTCATCTGTGGTCCAGCATGCTTATCCAACGTAGGTAGAGTGTCTTCTACCTCTGCTCCATGTCGCTTGGTTTGTTCCATCATCAAATTTGGTCACCTACCTTCGTCTGTCTTTACGCCGTTCAGAAAAGCTGTAGCAGAACTTGCCGAGTCTGTTCCCTGCATGTCAACGGTATATGTCTTTGCCAGAGCTGACCAGGGAAACACCTCCCAGCTCAAAACATTTTCCTCCCCATACTTCATATTCTTCTGCTGTCCATCAAAGATGCGTGCAGCGGTGATGGTGCTGATACCCATTCCGTCGCCCAAAAACAGAACTGCGCTCTTGGCAGTGTTTATGTTCGGTTTCACCTTGAGATTGTCCTTAATAAGCTTGACACCTTCTTTATACCAGGGATTGTTGTCTTGATTTGCAAAAATATCACCGTTTACGCCTCGATAAAATAACAAAAAAACAATGAACATTACATTATGCATTGCGTACCTAACTTCTTAAGAAGCCCATATCCGTTGATAAAACAGATCCTTGACACTCTTATGATTTGTTTATTTTTACTATAATTTCCCGCACAAACAATGGCCAATCAGAACGCTATTGACTTATTATCGAGCTCTATGTGAGAATAAAACAGGTCTCCACAGTTTATAGACCCGCACGATAGAGAACCCTAAAAGATTATATAGGAGTTTTTTAAAAAACAGGCCTCCAATGAACGAATCGATTAAAGTCTTACTCACTGGCTGGAGAGAGCTAAACATCAAATGATGTAGGAACTTATCAACGACTTTTCCATGACTGACTCGTTGACATAGACGCTTTCCCATGCAAAGTTTTTACTTGATATTCATAACATTAGCAAACAAACTGCGGCTCGTTTTCGGTTCGGAAATTTATGCACGAGTAAGTTACGAAACCTTTGAACTCTAATGATTTGGTTGGTAATTCTCCCTTCCAGCTTTAACAGGTTGCTTCTAACTTAGTTAAGAGAATTTGAAGACTTTTGCTGGATGATGTGTTGAAATCGCGAGTACAAGTTACATGTTAAAAACCCATCTTAGGCCTCTCCGAGTAAAAGGGTTCAGTTAAATTATGTCTACCATAGTCAATGCCGTTTATTTATACAATTTTACTTCTTCGTTATTCGGCTGGCTTAACACGAGTGGGTATGATGAAGCAAGTCATGTGTTATTGGCCTCCGAGGCTGGAAAGATGGGCTTATCTTGCACATTCGAGATTTCTCGCCTCTTTCCCGCAAAGCAAAACTCTGTGTTTTAATCTTTTCAGTGGTCAGTATCCATATTGGTAAATCCTTGTAACCACAATAGAATTGTTTTGGCGTTTTTAAGGTCCGAGAGGAGGTCGGTGTTCATGACAACGTTTTGCTGAGTCACTAATTCACATGCATCACGCCACCGTCGCCCTACTCTCTGTTCACGTGAAACAGAGGGCGATGTATACGGAAATTAGTCCTGTTTTTTATTCGAAAGCTTGTGGTATAATTGTTTACCGATCCAACTTCAAGTTGTTTTGCAAAATGATGACGTCGTTAACCTAAAGGAGTCGTAAAGTGGTCTAGACTTCGTTCTAGAATTCTAGACTGAACTCAACTTCATATCCGTAAAATGCTGTGTAATAAATAAGCACCAATCAATAAGGATGTTAATCGTTTCACGGGAATTAATTTAGAGCCCTTGCAATAACAATGTGTAAAACAAATTGATCATATCCTTGTCGTTGGCTGTTGAATTCTAAACCTTCAAACAAATTTACTTTTGATATCTTACTTCGATCACTACTGTTTATATTACAAGCTGACGTGGGTTGTAAACGATAGGCGCGATAAACTAATACAAAATACTTGACTCTCTGTTTGTTGTGTAGTAACTTCACCCGCGGGATATCATTTCAGATCCAGAGTGAAGTCCACATCAAGCTGATAATACATGGTGCTCGGGAATAATAATAATAGATTTGAAATAAGAGAACAAAATTATGTCCGTCGAGGATTATACCCTTTTGGAGAGAACGAAAAGTGAGAGCATTCCGTTGGACAAATAGATCACTTCCTTTTTAACATAAACAGGCGAGATCTGCCTACGTGCGCCCTTCGAAGACTAGTGTACTTGCCTAACTCCTATAAAACGCTTATTACAATTGATATATCGCTTAAAAACAACCAAAAATCATCAAAATCAGTGATGAAAAACTTTTTTTCCTTCTAGATTTTCTCAGGCTTAAAGCCAAGTTAAAGTTGATCGAAGATCAATTCTATTACCGTAATAAAATCACGACTGGAACAAATTTGTTGTCGTGGTTCTACGGGCTGCAACAGACGTGCATCCGAATCAAATCACGCTGTCCTACCTTGAACTGTTGTTAATTTTGATCCGTTTTCGTCAGACGTCAAAATAAAAATTATAGCCACGACGAGAAGCACTCCTGAGGAAACTTTGATCTTAAGTTCCGAGATTGGCGTCCCTTTATACTTTTGATTTATTCGATCTGACCTCTCTCTCTCAATTATGTTCTTTTAAAGCACAAACAGGTGTCATTGTTGCGCGACGCGAAAATGTGCACGTGTTTTAAAGAATTGTTCAGTCGGCGAAAAATGTTTACTACAATGAGTGACCAAGACAGAATTTCACGTTACTATATCTATACAATATCTTGCAGAAAAGTGATGAGAATAAAGAAAAATATCAATTACTGGATTACTAATTGATCGGATACCAAATTCTCCAAACTAGCATAATGAGAATCGTTTGGCAGACAGTAAAGAGCATTACTAGTGACACGGAAACAAATTAGTCAGAAATTAATATTCTGATGGCACTTTGAAGAGATTCGCGCGGCATCATGAACGTTTCGGGCGTTTCGCGGGAAAATTAAATCAATCTCGGTCGGTCAGTCTAATGTTTAACCACTTTTTTTGTAGTATTTGTTGTAATTTTTAATTTAAAATATATTTACAATCATCGATTTTTCTTTGTGATTAGTTGTGCAACTAGGTTAGTTTACCCATTCCTCGGGATACTGTCCTGCTGCATTATGATGAGAATACATTTCAACACATCTATGACCACATCTAAAAGGTGGTTTTTTTGTGGCTTTTCGTGTCTGGCGTAGCATAGGTTCTTTTTGTAGAAACCTTAGTTTTAGGGTACACATGTTAAGATTGTATGAAGATGCGTACACTAGAAGACTGACTGACTCATCATCAGAATGCATATACTAGAAGACTGACTGACTCATCCAGATCATCATCTTTATGAACGATCTTTAATATGTAATTGAGAAGAGCACTCCGTCCACTTACGCTGACGACACTCAAATCTCTCACGCTGACAATGAACACTCCGAAGTTGAAGAAACAATTAACAATGATCTTATTGCGCGAAATGGTATGAAGAGGAACAGTTCAAAATACCAGGCGATAGTGCTAGGAAGAAAACAAAGGAACTGATGAGCCAGCATTCACGTGTGACGAATCACAACTTCCAATATCCCACACAACGGAACTTCTTGGCGCAACAATCGATGACAAATTAAATTTCAAAAAGCATACCGCTAAAAATATGTAGAAAAGTCAGTCAATAGATCGCTGTATCAAAAATGATGCAGAAAATGTTGCCTTTTGAGACCATAAGGGATCTTTATAAAGCTTTCATTCTACCATACTTTAATTACTGTTCCGAAACGTGACACTTCTGTAATAAGAAGTCCGCTGACAAGTTAGAGATGGTGGACAAACGAGCGCTCAGTTTTGTTTTCAGAGATGAAGACCTTTGTAAGCGTATCGGTCTCTCAAGTCTTCGTGAACAACGATTAACGAAAATATTGTCCACTGTTTTTGAGATATTGGCCAGCGATGCAGGACCTGCAAGCTTACGTGATCTCATAACAGTAAGGCGCTCCACTTACAACCTCAGGAGGAACCACAATACTTTGACCTTCCAAAAGTAAAATCAACCACTTTCGGCTTAAGACAATGGAGATACGCTGCATCGAATTTGTGGAACACTATACCCGACGAGTCTCGGAAGATTCCAACATACACTGCTTTAAAAAAAAAACTTAAAAACATTAAATCTCATGGGACTGACTGCAGTGTGAGTCGATTCTTAGTCAGTTTTTACCGTTTTTATAATTTTCATATTTATATATTTTTAACTTAGTTTGACAAAACATTGTTGAATTTTTATGTTTCAATATTAGTTAGTTTATAATCTTAACTTCTCTTAAATTTATACACCTTCAAAAGGCTTTTTTTTTTCATTTTTCTGTTTCTTTTTTTTAACGTGGCGTACCTGTAAACTAGCTTTTTTGCTGAGCGCACCGACCACGTTAACCCCTTAACTTCCACGAGTGACCAAGAGAGAATTTCTCCTCACAGGGTCAATGCAATACTAAGCAGACAAGTGATGAGAATAAAGAAAAATAGCGATTAGAGGATAATTAGTTGATCCAATACTAAATTCTCTGAACTAACATTCTAAGAATTGTATAGTTGACAGTAAGGAGAATGACAAATTTGATCTGGGAGTTAAAGGGCTAAATACATTGATTGATTGCTTGATCCAGGATGCTTATACTAAAAGACTGACTGACTCATCCAGGATGTGTATATTAGAAAACTGACTAACTCATCCAGGATGTGTATATTAGAAAACTGACTGGCTCATGCAGGATGCAAATGTTAGAAGACTGACTGACTCGAGCAGGATACGTATATTAGAAGACTGATTGACCCATACGAAATAAACTTTTCACGATGAATGAGTGTAGTCATAATATAAATCAACTTTTGACAAAATCTCACTATTGCCATTATTATTTATGCATAGCATCACATTAAAAAAAATGAAGAAAAACAGAACAATTTGTAGATTCTGCTTGCACGCCTTTGCAAGTTGACAGTTTTAACCACAATCAACTCTCTGCTAACGAACCCTCTCGTAAGCGGATTGCTTAACATAGAAGAATAGAAATATACAGTCTAACGAACATCCGCTAATTAACTCTCCCTTAAGCCGATATTTAGCCCATTTTCCATTCGAATAATTCTCGTAGGCGGACAGCTCTACTGACAGACACCTTTTTCAATTCCCCATAGACATACTGAAATCAAATTATCAATCCTTAGACGCATTTTTGAATGATCTAGCTTTGGATGACAGACGAAACTCTTGGGTCTACTTAGAGACCCACTGTTCTTGGAGCAAAATTAGGGTTGCCCTTAGGGATAACCCTGTCAGCCAGAGTGGCAATTTGCCATGTAAACGTCTCAAGGTGGGGTAACCCGCCTAACCGGGGTCGCGTTCATGGCAAAAAGCTCAAAAGCTAAACACGTATGTTTTAAAACTTTGTAAATTTCCAAGCCGTCTCATGGCAGAAATCACCAGAAACCGCAACGGACTCACAAGGAGTGCAAAATGTTCACGTTTCGGAATATTTTGCGTTGTAAATCGACTCTATTTCGTTTCCCAAACCATTCCGTGTAACGTATTAAGTCTACGATTCCTCGCGTAACCTAACACCGCGTAACACAACGCGCGATGCTTTCATGAATAATTACATACATGTCCGATAATTTAATCTTTCGTCTTTCTCGAGATGTGAGCTTGGAACGCCTGCGCTCAAACTCCCTAATTGCAAGCGCAACAACAACCTTAAGAAACCTCACCCCAGCACCTCGGGGTTGTAAGACTGCATGTAAACGCATTTTCATTTTCGACCACGGCTAGGCGGGTTACCTCACCTACCTGGGGTCCTCCATCAGTTTCGCGTTGCGCGTCACGTCATCGGATCTCGCGATTTTCTTTGAATGCGCGCTTTGGAACAAAATTAGATTCTAACAAGTGAAACGTAATGGTTGACAGCAACTGAACTCAACAATTTGGTTCAGACTTCTGCTCTGTGTTGTTCAACATAGGCGGAAATCAGTGTGATATCTGTATTTAACTAAAATTGATGCCCGTTAAGCGACCACCTGGATGCACTGACTATCCGAGACGGTCTCAGCTGTAGCCGGTACTACGTACTCTAATCTTAATCACCCATGACATGATACCATAGGAAAATTTTGCGTCACGACTGAACTAGTGGCTAACAGCCACTGATTGATGGAAGCCACAACTACAATCCATTTCTAGCCTGCCACACATGCAACTGAACGTATAAGTTGCCTTTGAGGGATGATAAAAAGAACACCAATGACAAAAGACAGCAAATTCGAAGATAGAGAATGAGAAATTTTCTTTTAATAGGTTTTGGAACATTTTCGACGGAAGTTTCTTTGTAGATTCCGGCGACTCTCGAGTCTCAATGATAAACATCATTCCGCCATTTTATTTTTTGACTGGGATCTCGATTAGGTCTGCTACTATCAATTTTTGCTTAAGGTTCCTTCATAACCTATCCTCGAATTTGTAGTTAAAATTAATAGTTTTAGGGATCTTCGTTGAAGACAGCAACATCACAACAAGTGGTATACAGAGAGGTCATTACAGTTGTTAGAGATTAATAGACGACAGTCATTCGTAAACGATCAAAATACTGATATAGCGTCAGATTTAAGACATTAAAGGGATTTTGGGGAAACCGCGCAGCCAGAGGGATTCCCATATATTCCAAGACGCCAGTCTGCCCTAATATGTAGGTTCTGATGCTGCGGAAATCGAAAGCAATAGCAACCTCTAAAAAAACTGAAAAGCTACAAACAAAGGGTTTTGTGGAGCAGACATGAGAAAAAAGTGACAGAGATAAAACATATTGATACGTCTCTTGTGTTACGACTCGATGAAAAAGATTGCAATTCAAAAACTAAAGCCGTTGGAGGCTGAAATCTATATATCACAAGCTTATGATATTGCATCTTGCTGCGTTCAAATCGAGACTTACCTGCTAATACGCAAACCAAGGCAAAGAAACAGAACTTTACGTACAGGCAGTCAACAGCCATGGTTTTTAAATCACTGCACAACTCTGGTATCTATACAAGTCAAAAGTCAAAGCCAGGTACAGGACATGAAGCGAGGTATGAAATTGTGGTATGTAGCCGAATGAAGTGTTTATTTAACAACAGCGGGGGTCACGAAATCGAGATATTGAGTCACGTTATCCGATTGTTCAAGTGATACTGGTCCTAATAAGGCCAAACGTCCGTAGCAGCAATGACTGCCTTCAAAACAGGCCTATTTAAGGTAAATTGAGACAAAATTCAGTTGAAAGTTCAGGACACACGACTTACTTTCTTTTGGATAAGAATTAGTTACTGCAAACAAAATATGTCAGAGGAATAAATTAACTATGGCCTGTAACAAAGAGCAGACGTCAACTGCAAGAGCAAATAAAGTGAAATTATTGTGCGAGAGTCCTCTCTTCCCGATAAACTATTCACCATAATTCCTGTTACGTCCAATTGATCTTCATGTACGTTGTTCTTTTCCGTAACCATTTCCCGCGAGAATCACTTGTTTGGGGAGGGGGGGGGGGCTCATTGGAATTAACCGTTAGCCGTAAAATGGCTAAAAAAAATTAGCCGTTGGGCGTAAAAATTGTGAAAAAATTAATCGTAAACTGGTAACCACAATGGAAAGACATTAACCATGATCCGAAAATCGGCCAAAATTTTAGCCGTTAGCCATAAGAGTCTTTTCCCATTGAGACCCTCTTGCGTGTCCTTGCCGAGGGTCATAGACTGTTCGCCCAGTGCCCCGGAGGGGGTAGGGGATGGGGGTAAACGGGCGATGCGAAAGTGGTGGGGAATTGCGATAAGTTTGGATTTCAAACCTAAACTGACTTAGATCAAGCCTTAACGAAATCTTCTCCATTGCGGTTGTCTTGGTGAACTTTAAATCGACCATTCAATGAGATAACGCGCTCGATAATTAACTGGGTGGGTTCTCCCATCCTTGTCGAAGCCAAGCCAAAGGCTTCTTTTAATTGACTTGAAATAGATATTAAAACTGTTCACCACTCACAAAAACGCAAGCTACACACACACGGGCTACCAAAATTATAAAATAAATGAATATAATAATAATAGTAATAATAATTATAACATAGCTAGCAACTTTGTCTAATCAGATTCAATTGCACGAGCGTGCTTCATATTCCTATTGCGCACGTTCATGACGTCAGCAAACAAATCCCTCGAGAAAAAAATTTTCCTTCGGGTTGAAAATGTTATAAAACAATTGGTTCATACGTCAGCTGTGCGTTCATCGAGATATGAGGCACTTGGGAAGTTTGGAGAGCACTCAATAAGCTAGAGTTGCTCTCGGCTACGCCTCGAGCAACTCTTGCGCACCTTTCGTGCCCTCCAAACCTCCCGCGTGCTTCATATCTCGACAACGCACGCTGACATATGAACCAATTGTTAATAAGGGTTTGCGTGTGCCTGTGGGATCGCGCGAGTGCTTCTGAGTGTAGCGCGCCGCGTTTAAGTGGCGGCAAGTGTATTTGAGTTACTACACTGGTGCAAATCGCGATTCTTTTATAGCATCGTTTGTTTCCTTTAGATTGTGATGACTCAACAATCATTCGAAAATGCTAACAAACACAACTGAATCGCAGCCATGGCTAGGGATCTTCAAAACAGGTGAGGCTGACGCACAAACTGGCAGGAAACATTTCAAAGGAAGGTTACGGGAGCGTTCGACATTTCAGTTGTGAAATTTGACACAACTGAACTTTTTACTATCCACGAAAGAACTCCCGATATTAAGGAGATGCTAGAAAGGATATCCGAGAAACGTGTCCTGAGATGGGAATGTTAACCTCTTTGATCTTTGGTTTCTAAATAATAATTAAAAAATAGTCTTTCCCCCAAGTCACAAAAGGCTTCAAAGCTATATGTTTAATGAAGAGTTGATGATTGATCTGGTTAACCCTTAGACCACCATTCATCCATGTTTTACTTCCTCGTTTTAGTTAATTACCATAATTCCCAGTTAAAATATGTACAACTATATAATATGTACCTGTGTACATTATACCATCAGAATTAAATCAGTAAGACTATTGTCATTTTGAATATTTACATGCTGTCAGAACTGAAACATCTTGGACTCTCACTCTATTAACTAATTGAGTTAGTATTAGTTATTTTTAAGGTTAAGAGTTAGTGGTAATTAAGGAGTCCATGATGTGTCAAGTTCAGAATTTTTGGTATGGAAGTATTCAAATTTAAGTTCCAATTTCACCTTAAAACTCAAATTGTATTAGAGTCAAGTCCAACTTATTTCAAAGGAGCAGATTGAACAACATACCTGTAGTGTTATGGCACAAACTTATGACTGTAACAAAACAATTTTAGTTAATTTTCTTTTCAGGGCACCAATCTAATCACATTCAGGACATTTGGGCAAGAGCATTAAATGAAACTTCTCCATGAATTTTTATGCTATTTTAGAACTAAATAGCTTAAAAGTTCTCTTGAACTCATATCCAAAGCTTTTATTTCTCAAATGGTCAAACACAAGTGACTATTTTTGAAATAGAAAGCTTTGATGCAATTTTTGACTTCAAGCCAAAAATTGCTTTTGTAGAGCTAAGAATTTTCATTTGATGCCAGACCTAGAGTCTACAAAATGTGAAGAGAGTGGAACCCTGAAAATGAAAAAAAAAAAAAACACAAACAAATAATGCCAAATTTTGCAGAAAAAAAATCTTGTTAACTCCAGGTATGTAGTTTTCATCTGAGCCCTACTTGTCATAAAAAAACATTTTTTTAAATAGCTATATTTACTGAAATAGAGTTTCATGTTTTTATTTTTGGTCATATCTGTGTAGATACGCTCTTAATTTTCTAAATCAAATTGTAAAACTAACTAACTGTGCACCAAAGCCGGACACGTAAACCCCTTAAAAACCCCTTCATGAGGGAAAAATGGGGACCGTGTACCCCCAACCAGTGCTGTGGTGTAACCTTTGGGGTTTTAAGGTGTGTTTAAATAGAAACTGTAAAATTAACTTTAGTTACAAAGTTCCTATAGTGCAGAGTGAAATGTCACAAAGTTTCCATAGTTAAACATCTACATTCATCTGAGGAGCAGCAAGTGAAAAGTGCTCAGGTGCTTCCACTCCAATGTTTTTGTTTCATGTATTGAAGCATGTAAATGAGTTCACAGTCCTAAGCCATTTTCCATAACTTGTACTTTATAACGGGTAAATCAAATCCAATTTCTTTCCATCAATAGTTCAACTTCAGTCATCAGTAAAGGTGCTTACATGCCTAAAAACAACATATCCATACACTGTTCAGCAAACCAATAATGAGAATACCCAAACTTATTAGTAGAGGTTATTATCTTGATCTGATACCAAATTCTCATAACTAATTTACAAGAAAATTTGTAGCAGCTAAGGGGGAGAATTAACAGTCAGATCTTGAGTTGAAGGGCTAACGAGTTAGGGTAAGTCATCATGACATCTTGCTCGCATTCCACATGCTTAAAATTGAGGGCTTAAATTCATAATTATTGGATTTACTAAACACCATTCTTAGTGATAATTTTCTTACCTTTATTAATTCATAACCAGGGATGTATTATCATCCATGCAGGTCGATTTAACCTGCTTGTGTTTGCAATCATCATTGGTGAAGCTAGCATTTTGATCACTCACCGCACTTCAGGACTTCAGGTACATAATTATGAAACTGATCACTAAACAAACAAAATATGTTTAATAGATAGAAGAGTGTAAACACATGCCATAAGATACAAACTTTTAGATTAATTTAATGTATTTAACTTAGTATGGTATGGTATGCATATCTTTGAATTAATTGAACTTCACACCTACATCATTGTGAGGGCCAAATAATAGTAACAATGGAACTTTCTAAAACTTTCCTTTCTTGTTGATTGAAACTTACAATTTACGATGATGATACTTGGTGATCAAAGTATATCATATTGCCTCCAACTCTTGATTTCATCTGTTGTATATCTGTTAGGTCAGTTATGCATGCAGTTTGAACCTTGTTTATATTACAAACCTTGAACTTGCATGTTCAGGATGTTAAGTCTGTGGACTGATCCTTGTTTTATACCTGGCCCAGCCAACACATGTAGTGGTAGTTTTCTTGCCAATAGTGAGGTAAAGCAGTAACTGATGAATGGAATTCTGTCTGACTGCTTCTTATACATCAGAGCTGCTGTAAAAAAACTTTCTAGCACATTGGATCATTTTTTACAAAGTATGTATGTATGTAAAGCATGTATATATTGCAATGTTTCCTGAACTGTTGTACTGAAATCAAGTCTTGAAAATGCCACTTTCATACCACTTTTAAATCCCATTATGTTTTGAATGCTCTTGGCTGAGGTTACATCCTGTTCCATTTAAGCACTTTCACTGTCCATCACTCAGTGCAAGAAAGCGTTTCATGGGCTTGAATCCCATTTGGTTTTAAATGCTTTTGGTGCAGGTTAATACCTTTTGCACTAATTAAAAGCACTTTCACTGTCTTTTACTCTGCACAAGACAGTGTTTCATGGGTTTGAATCCCACAAAGGTTGAAATACATTCTGGTTGAGGTTAATTAACTTCTTTTCTACTCAACACTTTCACTATCTGTTACTTTATACAAGACAGTGTTTCATGGGTTTGAATCCCACTAAGGTTGAAATACATTCAGCTGAGGTAAAATAATTCCTTTTCACAGCACTTTCTCTTTCTGTTAGTCAGTGCAAAACAGTGTTTCATGGGTTTGAATCCCATTAAGATTTAAACACTTTCGATAAATTTAAAGTGAGTTTCTTCTCTTCTGATAGAAGAACTTTCACTTTCTGTTGCACAGGGCAACACAGTATTGAAGAACTGATGTGAATCTAATTCTTGCTACATAAATTGTGCCTTACCTTTGACAATAAAATGCATTTATCTACATTGAAGAATAGGGAAGAGCAAAGATAAAACTTTGGTACTGGTAAGAAGGGCCAATGAAAAAGAGGAAGATGAGTACATTCAAGGACATGGAAGCCCCACTAACAGAGAAGAATTAAGGATACAGAAGAGTATTCCATTTCTTGAAAAGAAATGACTACAAGCTGTTTTGATGTGAATACTGTACTTCAATC